AGAAAGGCTGACTAGACTGGTCATGAGCAGGCTTCTTGGGTATTCGTGATGCCCTATTTCCTGAGCTGGCTAATGTGTTACACAGATGTGCTAATTTTATGAAAATGGATTGAGATGTGCACTTAAGGCTTTTGTACTTTTCTGCTTAGGCATTCAGTATAAATTTACATTGAAATAATTTTATGTAGATTTATAAACATTTCATATATTCTTTATTAGGTTACCTTACAGTAAGTTTTCTCAGTTTGAACATTAATGAAAATTTTTGGCTGGATAATTTTTTGTTGTAAGAGGCTGTTCTCTGCACTGTAGGATGTTTAGTAGCATCCCTGACCATTACCTACTAGATGCCAGTATCATCTCCTCCCAAATTATCATAACCCCAAATGTCTCCAGACATTGCCAAAGGTCCTTTGGAAGGTAAAATTGTACCCTGCCTTAAACAAACTTGCACAAAGGGTCATATTTTACCAAGGATACTGATTAATTATTTTATCCACATTATTTGCCAGGAAGAACTTTAATATCTGTCAAATGGAATCAGCCAGGAAATTAAAATACAGAGTCAGCCACATCCAAGTAACAGAATTATTCATCTACGTGTTATACAGATGGGACTGGACTAAAAGAAGATTCCAAACATTACCCCAGAATCCCTTTCTCTGAGAAAACTACATGCTAATTAGAAAATAATAGGCCATATCTGGACCTAACTCAAACACCATAATTTGGAACATGAATGCTGAAGGAGAAGGTGGGCAGTAGACCAGTTGAAGAACACTCTTCTTAGCATCTCCTTGGTCACTACCATGTGTCAAGAGGTACAGAGGTCTAAGGAGCAATATCAAGTAGACTTAGGGCAGGAAATCCTCCTAATTTGAGCGCCCTTTACATGGCAAAACGCCTGAAACCAAGACTTGTTCTTCTTTCTCTGGCCTTAAAAAAGTAAAAATGTAAGGATGTGGTTTCCCTGTCAGCCTGCTCTTGGCTCCAAAGCTCTCATCACCTCAACGAACTTCTCTACCACAGACTAGCTCCCTAACCTATCAGAGAACAGTCTAGAACAACATTTTTCAGGTGAAATAGAATGCAAATCAGATGTGTGATTATATATATATATATAAAAT